CGATCCGGCACCGCACGGCTCCGGGGCCTCGGAAGCCCCAGCTGTTCGAAGCATCCTCGGAGAAAGACTCGAGTCCCAAAACCACGCGGTGACCCCGAATCCCAACTGACTCACCACACAGTGTGGTCACCGCACCGTCTGGGTGCCCCCGATCAATCCTGGAAATCGTTTGCTGACAGCACCGAGGGGCTAGGGGAAGGACCCCAGAGCCAGAAATCAACGCATAACTGTGGACACCCGAAAATGTGATGTTGCGTTCAATCGCTGGGTTTAATGCGATGACGACCCTCCCCCCAAAGGTCAGTTTCTCGTTCCAGATCCGTTCGTGATGGCCCAGGGGCCCGATAACGGGTCAGTGTTTCTCTTTTGCCTTTCCGGGATAGCGGTCGTCACTGGCCCAGCCCCCCCACCCCCCCAGGATGACGTCACTTTCCGCGTTGGCGGCGTCCCGGAACGCCCAAGGATGACCGATGTCACCAAGTAGGAGCAGCATGTAGGTGGCGATCTGCACCCCTGCAAGGCAGCGCCTGTGCGCACCGCGTTGCTCGCGTGTACCACAACGCGCGCGTGCACCGCAGCGCTTGCGCACGCCGAAGTAGCCGCGTGCAACGCAGCGCCTGTGTACACCACAATGTTTGCGTGCGCCGCAGCGCCTGTGCACACCACGACGCCTGCGTACACCGCAGCATCCGCGGGCAACGCAGCGCCGGTGTACACCACAACGCCTGCGTGCACAGGACAGGTAGAAAGGGCATGCGGGTGAGGATATGCTGCGGACAGATAAACGCCACGCAAGGAAGTGCCGATAGTAGAATGTGATGTGTCGTGTTCCTCCCTTTTCCTCCTCCTCCTGCTGCTCCTCCTCCTCCTCCTCCTCCTCCTCCTCCTCCTCCTCCAAAGGCTGGCGCCACTGTCTGCGCGCCCCACGCTCGCCACCCCCCTGAGCTCGTCAAGCAGCGTGACCATCCGGCAGAGCAGCTTCACCACCTCCAGCAGCGGCGGCTCAGCCCGCGAGCCAGGCGGCCAGGGCCGCGCGGTCGCCCTGCCAGGCCGCGTCCGCGCCCAGCGCGGTCCAGAACTGACGCGCCAAGACCGCCTGCAGTGCGACCGCCAGCTCCGCGCCCCAGCAACGGGCGAGGGTGCTGGCCGCAGCCGCAGCCGCGGCGGCGTCGTCCCGGGCGAGCAGCTACGCTTGGTCGCGGGCGAGGCGCCAGGAGGTGGCGCAGGGCAGGCGGCCGCCTGTCTCCAGAGCCAGCGACACCATCCGCCAAGGCGTGCGCCCGGCGGGGTACCGTTGGTGTGTGTTGTCCGCGTCCGCGTCGCGGCAGACTGCGCCGTCCCGCGCAACAGCGGCCCGGAGCCCCTCGACGTCGCCAGGCACGCAGTAGCGCCCCGTGACATCGAGGAAGACGCGCGGGCAGTCCGCCCGCTGGATCTCCAGGTCGGAGATCGCCTCCTCGCGCTGCGCCGTCAGGCCGGCTGCGCCGCAGCGGGGGCAACCCGCCCAGCCGCCGGGCGCGCCGCCGCCGTGCCGCCCGCGTCGCAGTCGGCGCAATGCCAGCGCCAGCGGTCCCAAGCTGGCACCGGCGTCTGCCGCGCGACGCGGCACCGCAGTCGGCGTGGATCGGCTCCCACGCGGTCTCCAGGTCGCCGCTGCGCGCTTTGAGCCCGCCCCCGCGCGGGCAGCGCCAAGCGCGGCGGGCCTTGGCGCCGAGGGGGTCCCGGCAGGGCCGGCCAGCGCGCAACCCTGTACGGGCGCACTTGTGGCAGGGGGCGGCGCCCTGGCCCGGCAAGCAGCGCGCCGTTGAGCAGAAGTCGTCCTCCAAGCGTTGCCAGGGTGCGCCGGGCGAGGTGGTCTGCCAGGCCGCCGCGTGCGGGCCGGGCCGCCGCAAGTGCGGAGCAGCGCCTGGTCCCTTCAGAATCCAGGGATCCAAGTAAGCAAGTGATATAATCCATCGCCCTTCCCCCATCATGCGAGTCGTCGCTACCAGTGCACGTGCGCATCTCAACGTGCACTGCATAGTGGTCGATTGAATTAGTCCACGTGGTTGTCGAGCGGCCAATTCTGCGGGAGCCTTCTGGACGCTGATGGGAGGAGTCAGGATGTTGCGGGAGGACTCGGGAGGACTTGTAGATTCCAGCGGCGCTCCTTCTTCCATCAAGATTCCTTTTCCAACTCCGATATACAAAAATACATTGTTTTCCGCGGAATCCACACGCGTCCCATTTTGCCATAAATATTATTTCAGACACTATATATAAAAATATGTATGCAACAATCGTGCTCTGTTGTGCGCGATTGCTGCTGTGCACACAGGCGCTGTGGTGCACGCAGGCACTGCAATGTACACTGGTGCTGTGTTGCGCACGGCTGCTGTGGTGTCCACAAGCGTTGTGGTGTACACAAACGTTGTGGTACACGCAGGCACTGTGGTGTACATAAGCGCTTTGGTGCAGATCGCCACCTACATGCTGCGGCTACCCGTCCTCGATCATTCCTGGGCATTCCCAGGCGCCGCCGGCGTGACACGTGACGTCATCGGTCCCCTCGAACCCCCCCCCAGGTGACGGCCGTCATCGCCCCGGAATAGGAAAAACATGCTCAAACGCCCGCAGCTCGAGAAAGTCACATGGCTGGAGAGCTGGGGCCGGGGGGCCCGCTCCCTCCGGGCCCGTCCGCTTCATGGCGAACGGCCCGGACCCGGGTCAATCCAGACCCCGGCCAGTCAGGCTTTGCAGGATCCTGCAAAATCCTGCAGGATCCTGCGCCAAGACCCCGGTCAGTGCAGCTCTGGCCCTGCAGGATCCTGCAAGATGCGGCGCTCTGACTGACCCCCGTTTGCACAGACCCACGTCTCTTGGGCCCCGAACCAGCAGCCGCTTCGGCGGCGCCGGGCAACGGCATCGGCATGCCGGGCAGCAGCGGAGAGCGCGGACAGGGCCTCCTCCTGGGCCCAGTGCGGCGCTGCAGCCAGTGCCTCCTTGGCCTGGCCGAGCGGCGGTCCCCTCCTGCCCGCAGCAGGGCACGAGGATGTGGAGGCGCATGGTACCTGGAATATCGTACCCACGAATTGACACCTCCCCCCTCCGGGCGGAGCCCGTGCGGCGCGGAGGAGTATACGGCCCCCGCGGGCGCGGCGGGCGGGCGGGGCCACGGCGGTGGGGGGGTCGGCCGCGGCGGTGCGCGCAGGGAGGCGGCGACCCGCCCGACCTCCCAGGAGGGGGGTCGGCGCTCCGCAGTGCGGCGGCGCCCACGGCACGCGGGCGGAGGCCGTTGGCTCGGGGTGGGCGCTGATGCGCGCAGGAGGAGACAGGCGCGCTCCAATTCTCGCAAAGAATAGCTACTCGCAAACGGCCTGGATCCGCCGTGGGGGATTCACGATCCATCACGTCGAGGCAGACACGTGATTCTCGGACGATTGCGAGCAGGCGCACTGTGCGAGTAGCGGGGCGCGGTCAGTGAAGGAGGCAGCGGCAGCACGTCCCCCCCCCCCGCACGCATGGGGGGTCAGCGCTCCGCAGTGCGGCGGCGCCCCCGTTCTTGGTTGGCCCGAGGTGGGCGTTGCCGCGCGCCTGCCGCCGGGGCGTGCCCCCGGGTAAGCTGGAGTCCTGGCCCATGAGGGCCAGGCTGGAGACAGAAAAACTGACCGACGCGGGCGGAGGCTCGAGGAGCGAGGAGCCTCAAGCTTAGTTGCAAGGACGAGGACAGATCTGCAACAAATAGCCGAAGGACCTTCGGAGGCTGGCGCGGGTGCCTTGCATCGGCCTCCCTGGCGCGCGCCAAGAATGGCGCTGGAGGGGCCGCCAGGGGGGCTCCAGAACTCGTCCGAGAAACCCGCGCGGCCCTCCAGAAGTTTGCGTATGCCGATGTCTCTTGTACGATCCTACCAGACAACCCAGGCCTCCTGACTTCGCGCATGGCGCCCTCGCGCCCCCGCGACGCCCCTCTCGGTGGGCCTCTCTGGCCCAGGCAGCGACGCGACGCGCGAGGCGCGATCATCTTCGTGCCCCTGGGAAGGACCTATGATACCCGTGGCTCCACCCGCGCACCAAGCTCCACCTTCGCTGTCCTCGGAGTGAGCCGCCGCCGGATCTTCGGAGTTTGACCCACCTCTTCGCTCCCTCGGACATCAAGCACCGATCCTCCATCGATTTTCGATGCTGGGCACTTGAACCTCCCGCTGGGCTCTCGACCATCAGCGGGCTCCACCTTGGGCGGGTTGCCCCGTACCCTGGTGTGCGGGCGGAGCGGGCAACCTCCAGGCGAGGGCTTCCGACGGTGCCACCTCGCGAGGGCAGGTCCCCTGCGCGCGCGTGCTGTCCCGATGGCACTCCGGCCAGCTCGCGGAAGGGGAGAGGGAAGGGGGAGTGGGAGGACGCGAGGAGGGAGGGACATCCGGAGAAGGGAGTCGAGGGAGGAGACGGGAGGGGAGGGGATGAGAGGAGAGGGCGCGAGGGGAGGGGGCAAGGTAGGGCGAGCGAGGGAAAGGGAAGGGCAGGGGAGGAGGGAGAGGAGGGGAGGGGGGAGGGGAGGGGGGTGGGTGGGAGGGAGGAAGGAGGGCAAGGGGAACAAGAGATGGAAGGGGGGGCCGCCCCTCAAGCTCCCCTTTGCCCTCCCTGGGAGCGCTATATGATTATTGTCGCATCGGGAAGTCTTCGGGTGCATTGTGCGTGATATCCATCGCCCTCGGCTGACCGGGCGACCATGAGCTCCTCCGCCGACTACTCCTCCTCGACTGCACTGCGCGACCTCCTGACCCTTGCCTACGTATCTCAAGTGATCCACCACCCAGATGAACTCGCACCCATTTCCTCAACTGTAAGCGAACTCTGCTCAAACACCTGTCCAAACATTTGCACACAGCGCAGCAGGACACAACTGTTGAGATGACGCGGACCAGCGACCACAAAGACTCAAGACCCCATGCGCCCACGTGCACACTGCCAACTCCTTTTCCAGCCTCGACAGCCACGCACATGCTAGAGCAACGCCGCCACGCCTAGAGCCCCGCGTTGGGATCCACCTCTCGCCCGGGCGCGCGGTTCAGCGCGTTCTCGTACTGCCGCATCAGTGGCGCGTCTGAAGCGACGGTGGTGTCAGTCCTCTCGGTGTCGAGGTGGCTCCCGTCGTCTGGCTGGTAGGTCCCAGACGGGATGTTCAGCCTGCTGAACTCCACCCCCCGAGCCTGCTCCTCCTCGCTCGGCAGCCGGACGTGCTCCACCTGCCGCGCCTCCTGCGCGGCGACCAGGAAGTTGGGGCAGCAAGCCCAGACCAGCGCGTCGCTGACGATGGTGAGGATCGAGGAAAAAACAACCCCAGCACCCGTCGAGTCATGAAAAAAAATCACGACGGACAATCCTTAATCTTTCTCGGACTCCGAAGGTCCCCACCAAACCTCGGGACCGCCAAACAAATACTTAGAATGAAAACCAGTCCGGGTCCGGGGGAATGGGTCGAGACATCGGGGGGTCGACGTTATGAAAAATATGACACCAGAAGTCTCGGACAGCACAACTGCGATTACTGCGGAGGGGGGGCGAGTTTGTATGGAGGGGCACATAAGCGGAGGCCAGTGTTGCTATATCTGGCGCGGCCTAGCTAAACAATATATCACGAATGCCCCACGTGGCCCCAGCGGTCCGATAACTCCGCAGCCCGAATCGCTATAGCCACTAAGCCACCTGGGGCAGTCGTAACCCAGCCATAAACCAGGCTGGGCCAGCGATAACAAGAGGCCTTCTAGAGGGGGTCGGCGTAGATGGGGCCGGAGGATCGCACCGCATCGCCAACACATCGGCGATGCATCGCCGATGCATCGGCGACTCCAGCGTGGAACAATTCGGGCTCCACATCGAACCGCATCGCCGATACATCGACGATACGGCGCGATCCTCCAACCCCATCGACTCGGACCCCAACTGGGATGCCTGGAATACTTTCTGGCAATGGAAACACTTGGTTTTGAAAGTGTCTGATCTTGAAAAACTCTGCGTGGTGACGCCCCCGCTGCCAAGCAAACCTTCTGCGTGCCTGCGGGGGGGGGGGGGGGGGGCGCCACGTAGAGGCGGGCGACGCCAGAGGAACGCAGCGAGGTGGGGGGCAGCAGCCAAGAGAGGAGGAATAACGCGACACATATACTCACAGGATGAGGGGGGGGAGGGAGCGGAGGAGAAGGCCAAGGCGAGGGAAGGGGAGGAAGAGCAGCGGAGGGAGGACTACGGGCTGGAGGGGAAAAGCGCGGGACAGGATGCGACGGAGGCTCGGCCAGAGCAAGACTGGGATACTGGCATCGGGAAGCAAGCCCCTGGGGTAGGACGAGGCGGAGGGAGGCGTCAGCTTTCTCTCGCACTCTGCGAAGACTTGAATATGTCTTGGGGGGCAGCACTAGGTGGGGGCCCGAAACGCACCACATGCGACCCTCGCAATAACGCCCACACTTCACATACACACTCCCGCCCTACACTCGCACTACACACTCGCCCCTCGAACTCGGCGCCCACGCTCGCCCCCCGCACTCGACCCCCACATTCGACGCCCACACTCTACGCACACACTCGCCCCCCACATTCCCACTCCTCACCCGCCCCTCGCGCTCGGCCCCCGCACTCACCCCCAGCACTCGACCCCCCCCCCTCCACACCCACGCTCTACGCACACACTCGCACCTCGCGCTCGCACTCCACGCCCGCCCCTCGCGGTCGGTCCAAACACTCGCCCCCCGCACTCGACCCCCACGCTCTACGCCCACGCTCTACACACACACTCGCACCCCACACTCGCACTCCACACTCGCCCCCCGCACTCGGCCCCCGCGCTCCCCCCCTTACTCTACCCCCGCACTCAACGCTCACACTCTTCGCACTCGCTCGCACCCCACACTCGCCACACTCGCCCCTCGCGCTCAGCCACCGCACTCGACGCCCATAGTCGACGCCCACGCTCTACGCACACACTCGCACCCCACGCTCACACTCCACACTCGCCCCTCGCACGCGGCCACCGCGCTCGCCCCCAGCACTCGCCCCCCGCGGTCTGCGCCCACGCTCGCACCCAGCACTCGCCACTCACACTCTGTCCCCGCCCTCGTCACTCGCCCCCACATTCATCCCCCCCCCCCCCACCCCACACGCACACGCGCCCACCCACGCTTCGCAGCCATGCTCACCCCTCGCGCTCGACCATCCTGGTCGCGTGAATCGTACGAGCGCGCATTCGACTTCCTCCTCCTCTCCCTCGCCCTCCTCCTCCTGCTCCTGCTGCCCCCGCCGCGACCCTGGCAGCCAGCGGACTTGCCGAGGGAACGAACAGGCGAGGACGGGGGGGCGATGGGGGGAGAAAGCTAACAGGAAAACGACGAGGAGGACGAGGAGGAGGACGAGAAGGGAAAACCAGGAGAAAGAGGAGGAGGAGGAGGAAGAGGAGGAGGAGGAGGAGGAGGAGGAGGAGGAGGAGGAGGAGGAGGAGGAGGAAGAGGAGGAGGCGCGCGGCGACGCCGCCGTGCTGGAGGCGGCTCGCCAGAGCCTGGCGGCGACGCTGCACCGCGGGAGCGCGGAGGCCTTCCGCTCCGCCTGCCTGGCCGCGCGCGGAGCGACGCGCCGCGGGGCAGGCGGCGCCGAGCCGGCGCCCCGCCGCGCGCGCGCGAGCGGAGCGCGGGGTAGCGGCCCCAGCTGAACTGAGCGGCTAACGCTGGGGGCGCGCGCTGAGCGGCTGGCGGGCGCGCCGCTGCAGCTGGGGCTCGGGCGCCGCGCCGCGGGCGCTGGGCGCGCGCCGAAGCGGCCGGGCAACTGCGGCGCGGCGGCGGCGCCATCGGCGCCGGCGTTGGTCGGCCTGGCACGGAGCAGCGCGGCGCCGCTGGTGCTGCTCGGAGGGGCGCTGGCGGGCGCGGCGTTGCTGCGCTGCCGCTGCTGCTCCAGCGGGGAACTGGGCGGGCCGCGGCCGCGGGGCCCGGGGCGCCGGGTCACCGGGGCTCGACGGCGGCCGGCGCGCGCAGAGCTGCGGGCGGCGCCCGGGGCGGCCGACCGGCGCTCGCGCTCGGCTACACCTTTCTGGGCGTCGCCGCCGTGCTCCTGTGCATGCGAGGTAGAGGCCCCGGTCGGCGCACCCCCTCGGCTCCGGGGCTCGCTTGCCGCTGAGCGGCGTGCTTGTCCTGGGGTTGGGAGGGTGCGCCGGCTCCCGATCAGTGTGCTTCCGGCGCGCGGCAGACACGCGGCCGCCGCAGGACGAGGAAAAAGAGGAGGAGGATGGGGGCGGAGGAGGACGAGGAGGAGGACGAGGAGGAGGAGGAGGAGGAGGAGGAGGAGGCGGACGAAAAGGTGGAGGAGGGGGAGGAGGAGGGAATGGAGGAGGGGTTGGAGGAGGAGGAGGAGAGAGGAGGAGGAGGAGGAGGAGGAGGAAGAGGAGGAGGAGGAAAAGGATGAGGATGAGGAGGGAGAGGAGGAGGAGGAGGAAGATGAGGAGGGGGACGGAGGGGAGGAAGGCGGCGATGAAGAGGAGGACGAGGATGAGGAGGACGAGGAAGATGAGGAGGACAAGGGGGCGGCGCACGAGGAGGAGGACGAGGAATACGAGGTGGACGAGGGTCAAGATACGGAGCGGGAGGACGATGGTGATCATGAGCATTATGGATGGTCGAAGGCTGCGTGCCCTCCTACCTGCCGTGAATATGATAGTGATGATGAACCTGATGATCGAATGTCATAGTTCGACCGCTAGGACTACCCCGGTTTCTTCGCATCCAAAGGGGCACACTGCCACTTCCTATCAGGTGTCCTCGCATTGGGGGAAGAGGAATACGAGGAGGACGGGGAGGTGCAAGAGGAGGAGGAGGATCAGGAGGGCGACGAACAGGAGGAGGACGAGGACGAGGATGACGAAGATCAGAATACGGAACATGAGGACGATGGTGATCATGACCAGGCTAGGGGCAATATGCCCCCCTGCCTGCCGCGAAAAGGATGATGGTGGTGGTCCCGGTGACGATGGACATGACGGTCGGTAATAATCCCACCAGCCCTCTGGGCGTGTAGGGAGTTTCCTTTTCCACCCCTCCTTCTTCCCTCTTTCGGGAAGTTTATCATTTATCATTGTTCCCTATTAGTATACACCCCCTCCCCCAGGCAAGCGGGAGCCAACCCAGGTCCATGAGAGCCCCCCATCATTCCTTGTAAAAAACCACACAAAACACACACACGCACGCACGCACGCACGCACGCACGCACGCACGCACGCACGCACGCGCGCGCAGACACACACACATACACACATAGACACACGCACACACGCGCACACACACAGCCCCCACCATCCCTTGTAAAAAACTATACAAAACACACTCCGTTTCCAAATTCGGAGCATGCGCGGCGAACCCGACGCGGACTCCCCCACCATCCCTGCCAAAAAAAACAAAACAGAGTTCTCTTGGCGGCGGCGGCGGCTGCGGCGGCTCCGGTGAGGGCACCGGCTGCGGCGGCTGCGTTGGTGGCGGCGGCGGGGGCTGCGGCGGCGGCATTTTGGCAGCGGGGGCGGCGGCGGCGGCGGCGGCGTGCAGCGCTGCGGCGGCGGCAGCGTCGGACAGCGGCGGCGGAGACGGGGGCGCGGCGGCGGCGGCGGCGGGCGGCGGCGGCGGCGGCGGAGACGGCGGCGCCGGCGGATTGGCCTCCAGTAGCTGGCCATCCAAAAACGACTGCTGAAGGTGCTGCAGTTCGGGCCAAGCTCGGGTGCTACGTAAGTGTTGGGGGGGGCGGGTGGGGGTGAGCGACGCGGCTTGTGGGCAGGGAGGGCGTCGTGACCCCTCCTCCTACCTCTCCCCTGGACCTGGGCGGGGGTTTTCGCGAGGCGTCAGGGCGTCCAAAGCGGCCTCGGCGAGGAAGCCAACATCATTGGTTTTACTATGGTATTGTCGAAATGGGTCGCGTCAACAACAGAACTCGGACCTGTCGCAACCCTTTCGTGGGAGGATTTGCATAGTTGCGGGGCCAAGCGCGCGCGAACGTCCACCGAATGGCATTTTTGTGCCGGGGGCGCGAGTGGGCGGGGCCGCGACCCCTAGCAACAACTACAACTCGGAAGAAGGTAGGTATGGGACCAGGCGCGCCCGCGGATGTCCACCGAATTGTATTTGTTGTTCATGATCCTGGATATTTCCGCGGCCTCCCTCTCTTACTTCCCACCGCACCCCCCGGGTCCACTGGCTGCGGCCCGACCGGCCTGGTTGCGCCGGGCAGCGCGAACCCGCTGCAGGTCTCGGACGCGTCGAGGTCTGGGATGGCTTGCGGGCCAGCGA